CTATGAACTTCCCCCGTAGCACTGCTTTCAAAGTGTCCCATAGGTTTGGGTATGTTGTGTCTTCATTCTCATTGAATTCGAGGAAGTCTTTAATTTCTTTTTTTATTTCCTCTTTGACCCAGGGGTGGTGCAGTTGAGCATTATTCAATTTCCATGAGTTTGTAGGTTTTCTGCAATTTGTGTTGTTGTTGAATTCTAATTTTAAGGCATCGTGGTCTGATAAGATGCATGGAGTTATTCCAATTTTTTTGTAGCTGCTGAGGTTTGATATGTTGCCAAGTATGTGGTCGATTTTTGAGAAGGTTCCATGTGGTGGTGAGAAGAAGGTATATTCTTTTTTATGTGGATGAAATGTTCTATAGATATCTGTTAATCCCAGTTGGGTCATTACTTCTATTAGACCCTTTGCTTCTTTGTTGAGTTTCTGTCTGGTATTCTTGTCTAGTGGTGAGAGTGGTGTGTTGAAATCTCCCACTATAACTGTGTGGGGCTTTAGATGAGATTTAAGTTCTAATAATGTTTCTTTAACGAATGTGGATGCCTTTGTATTGGGGGCATAGATGTTCAGGATAGACACTTCATCTTGGTGGGTTTCACCTGTGATGAGTATGTAATGACCTCCTTCATCTCTTTTGATTGATTTTATTTTAAAGTCTAGTTTGTTAGATATTAGGATTGCTACCCCTGCTTGTTTCTTGGGTCCATTTGATTGAAAAATTTTTTCCCAACCTTTAACTCTCAAGTAATGTCTGTCTTTGAGGGTGAGGTGTGTTTCTTGTATGCAGCAGAAGGAAGGGTTCTGTCTTCGAATCCATTCTGCTAGTCTGTGTCTTTTTATGGGTGAGTTAAGGCCATTAATATTGAGGGATATTAATGACCATTGATTGCTCATCCTTCTTCGATTTGCGATGGTTGTTGTTGGTGGAATTATGTGTGGAATTTCACCCCTTTGTTCTTTTGGCTGTTGGTAGAGAGGGATTCTCTAATGCTTATGTTTTTCTGGTTGTAGTTAGCTTCCTTGGGTTGGAGTTTTCCTTCCAAAATTTTCTGTAGGGCTGGGTTAGTGGACACATATTGGTTGAATCTAGTTTTGTCATGGAATATCTTGTTTTCTCCGTCTATAGTGATTGAGAGCTTTGCCGGGTATAGTAGTCTGGGCTGGCATCCATGGTCTCTTAGTGTAGGTAGAATATCTATCCAGGACCTTCTGGCTTTCAGAGTTTCCATGGAGAAATCAGGTGTAATTCTGATAGGTCTGCCTTTATATGTTACTTGACCTTTTTCCTTAGCTGCTCTTAATATTCTTTCTTTATTCTGTATGTTTGGGGTCTTGATTATTATGTGGCGAGGGATTTTTTTGTGGTCCACTCTATCTGGTGTTCTGTAGGCTTCTTGTACCTTCATTGGCATGTCTTTCTTAAGGTTGGGAAAGTTTTCTTCTATGATTTTGTTGAATATGCCTTCTGCCCCTTTGAGGTGGATTTCTTCTCCTTCTTCTATACCTATTATTCTTAGGTTTGGTCTTTTCATGGTGTCCCATAATTCCTGGATGTTTTGTGTTAAGGATTTGTTGGATTTAAGGTTTTCTTTGGTTGATAAATCCATTTCTCCTAATGTATCTTCAACACTTGAGATTCTCTCTTCCATCTCTTCTATTCTGTTGGTAATGCTTGTATTGGTAGTGCCTGACTGTTTGTCCAGCTTTTCTATTTTCTGCCTTTCTTCAGATTGTGTTTTTTTTAGTGACTCTATTTCAGTTTTCAACCCTTGCAGCGTTTGCATTGCTTCTTGCAATTTTCTGTTTATCTGTTCGTCCGTTTGTTGCCTTTTATGAATTTTTTGGTTTGTTCTTTCTTCCATTTCTTGCATTTTTTGGTTTGCTTTTTGTTCCATTTCTTGGATTTTGTGCTTTTTTCTTCTTCCATTTCCTGCCTTTTTTGGTTTGTTTCTTCCTCCATTTTTTTCATTTTTTGCTTTGTTTTTTCTACCATTTCTTGCATTTTTTGCTTTGTTTCTTCTTCCATTTCCTGCCTTATTTGGTATGTTTCTTCTTCTAATTCTTGCGTTTTTTGCTTTGCTTTTTCTTCCATTTCTTGCATTTTTTGCTTCATTTCTTCTTCCATTTCGTGCCTTTTTTGGTTTGTTTTTTCTTCCAATTCTTGCATTTTTTGGTTTGTTTTTTCTTCCATTTCTTGCATTTTTTGGTTTGTTTTTTCTTCCATTTCTTTGAGGGATTTTCCAATATCCTCTTTTAGGGCCTCTATCATTTTCATGAAAGTGCTTTTAAGGTCGTTCTCTTCTGCTTCCTTCGCGTTGGAATATTGGGGTCTTGCTGGTGTGGAGTCTCTAGAATCTGGCGGTGTCATATTTGTTTTTCTGTTGCTGACTGTGTTTTTGTATTGTCTCTTTCCCATCTCTTCTTCTAGTGGGTGCAGAAAGAGCCCCTTCCTGGTCTGGGGACCAGAGTTCCCTTTTGGTGGGTGCTAGTAAGTCCAGTAATCTGGTGGTTCTTCTATGCCTTGTCCAAATGCTGGTCCGTGGGTAGAGAAGAAGAACAGGAATCTGGGGCGCTTAGCCTCCTACCTGGTCCCCTGGACCCTATGCTGGGTCCTGTTGTACCTGATCCGGAACTGCTACTCCCCTGGTCTCCCTGGCTCCTGTAGTTTCCTGGTCTCTTTGGTGGGAGAGAAGATCTGGAGTCTGGGGTGCTTGGCTCCCGCCGGGATTGGGAGCTCTGTGCAGTTCCCAGGCGATCTGCAGGCTCTGGAACACAGGCGGGGAAGCTGGCCTGTTTACCTGATGATGCCAGAGGGACAGCTACTTCCCTGTGCGCCCAGCCTTTTCTCCTGTTTTTGTTTTTTAATACCGTAATAGGAGTTCCTGTCTTACCTAATGAACCAAGAGACTGAACAAATATATGAGGGAGAGGGGAGGCTGAAATAATTAAACTATTACAGATGTTTACTGTTAAAAACTTCTAACTAGGCATAATGATGTAAACTCATACATAAGTTCCAGGCCAGTACAGCCTACATAATGAGTTAGAGACCAGCCTGGGCTTCAGGGTGTGAGACCTTGTCTCAGAAGGCAAAAATCAAACAAGCAAACAAAGAAACCATAAGAAACACCCAAAACATTTCCTGATAGACTCTTTAGAAAGAAACACGAGGTTTTTCCAGTCATGAAATAAGGGCAAGTTATTAGGAAATAGTTCAAAAAGAAGAGAAAAATCTTGCATTGTAAAGTAGTTTTATGGCTGAATATGATGATGCATGCTGTTAATCTCAGCACTTGAGAAACAGGCAAGAGAATCAGGAGTTCAAGGCCAGCCTGGACTTCATAAGACCCTGTCTCAAGTTTTTTTCAGGAAATACCCCCCAAAATAATGAATATTTGTACATAGCAAAAACCAAATTGTAGATTTGGAAAATAAATTTGGAGAAGAAAACTTCAAGAATTAGCAAAAATTCAGAGATATTTTGAGAGAAGAGTGTCAGCTCCAGATGGTCCACATCACTTAGCCTCCACACATTTAGTTCTAACTTGAATGGATTTTTCTGGGTTCTAATGGCAGATATGTGCATAAAAGTATATTCTCTAGTGAAAGTGTAAAATCCAGTGTGAAGCTGTACAGCTTTAGAATGGCTTTTATAACTGTGCAACAGTTCATTCTCATGAACTTTATTTTGGTGTGTGATGTTTTTTATTTGCAAGCTCTTTATAATAACGCTTTAAAGTGAGTTTTAAAAAGCAATGAGATAGGAGCTGGAGAGATGGCTCAGAGGTTAAGAGTACTGACTGCTCTTCCAAAGGTCCTGGGTTCAATTCCCAGCAACCATATGATGGCTCACAACCATCTGTAATGAGACCTGGTGCCTTCTTCTGGCCAGCAGGCATACATGTAGGCAGAACACTGTATACATAATAAATAAATAAATCTTTCAAAAAGCAATGAGATAATATTTTAAAATAGAAAATAATAAAATATATGTGATATGAAAGCAGAAGCAGAGACTATTTGGAGGAGGTAGGGAGCCCGCAAAAATAGGATAGGAAGGATGGGGGAAAGGGACAAATAAGAACAAAGTGAAATGACATATATGCGTGAAAATGCCACAGTAAAATACATTACTTTATTAACTTAAAATATAAACATATATTAAGAAACTGTATATACATCTGCATACGTATTCTTAATTGCTCCAGACCTTCACACTTTGAGTCAAAAAGGGCTTGTTTTTGATTTGCCCAAAGCAGAGAACAGAAAGGCAGCTTCTGGCTTGACCCCTTGACGTGGTAGAGATTGAAGCTCTTGCTACCTTGCTAGCTAAAGACAGGAGAGAAAATGACTGGCCTGTAGGGGCCCACATCCTTCCTCGAGCCTGCTCTTAAAGCCAGCAATCACACAGCAGCTTGTTTTGTCTGCAGAGAGCTCCAGCAGAACCCTTGCTTCTGTCTTTTAACAAAGAGTTATTCCATTTTTTAAAAGAGTTAAATAATTTCCAGCTAGAAGCATACCTCAGTGTTATCTTCATAAAGGAACCAAATTAGGTAAGTAAGACATGTACTCAGATGACTTCAGTGTTCTTTTTGCTTGTCTGCTTGCTTGTTTTGTTTGGGTTGATTGTTCAGGGGTTTCATTATTTGAGACAAGCTCATAATGTTATCCAGATTGCCATTAAACTCATTATCCTCCTGCCTCTGCCTCCCAAGTACTGGGATTCCCAGTGTGTACCGTTTTGCTTGACTGAGTCAATTCAATATTCTTTCATTGACTCTTAGAAATCACCGCCCTTAGAGTTACCCATGTGCACTTAGACACCATGGAGGTGTATCTTCATCTCCTGTTCCTATAGCTGTAAGATTACCTGTGTTGTACTGAGAAATTGGGAGGCAGGGACACTTGTGGGTAGAATGTTGGACTCTTTGGGTTTTAAAAATGCATTCTGTTTTGTGCATTTTTTCATTGCAGTAATTTTTCCTTAATTCCTTCTTTAAAGTTACTTGAAGCCCATCCTCACCCACAGTGGTCCCCCATTAACCACCACTCTCCCAGCCTGGTGTGGCTTGCTTGCTCGATGTCTGACCAGTCCCCAGGTGTATGATGTAAGTACTGCATGTAGGGGCTGTGTTCCTGCTCAATGGGTAGTCTCTTCCTTAGGAAAAAACACCACCCTTCAAACTCCAGATTCATAGATGTGGCTCACCTAATAGGATGATCAGAAATTGTGTGTGTGTGTGTGTGTGTGTGTGTGTGTGTGTGTGTGTGTGTGTGTGTTCGTTCATCTGTTTGGCACAGTAACAGGGAAACCTTTTACCAGGGTTATATGCCTTCCCAGTGTGGGCAGCTGTGATTGGGAATCAGAGTGACCAGATTGTAGTTCAAGCCCTCACAGGCTGCTGTAGTTTTTGTAATTGTACCATGGGCCTACTAGTGCCAGCTGGCATGAGCATTAAATAAGGGTCATCAAGACACACCATAAACCACAAAGAAGCACACCAAATTAAGGATTCCTCTGCATGTAGTTTATTTATTGGTTTGGTTAGGTCCTCTCTTCCCATTTTCTGGTCCTAGAAATGGAGTCATCACACGTAGGAAAAGAATGCCCCTGCCACAGATGTCTCAGACTTAGGGCTGAACTTGAATTTCCAATGTGGGTTGCAGGACAGATAGGTAGAGACAGCAAGCAACCATCTACAATCGAAGTAGTAGAAAGAAAGATAGAACTTCCTCCTTCTCCGTCTTTCTTACCATCCCAACGTCTTTGCCCTGAGGAAAAAGAATTTAGATTTGTGTTCAGCCTCCCAGCTTCCAAAGGCTCATTTCATTCTCAGCACAATACAAAGGAGCAAACGCTACAGCAGTACAGTTGGGGAGCATAGAATCTCAGGGATACATGGCCAGAGAGTCTGGGAAACAGAAACTTCATTTAGTGTCTGATCGAAGAAGAGGCAGACTCCCTTGGTTAAGTACTGAGCTGAACTCAAGAAAGCCAGTAACAGAGAGGGAGGACTGATGACCAAAGGGATTAAGACTGGGCTGGTTTAACCCCCAGAAACAGCTGACCTGACAAAGGTTAACTCTTGAATCCCAGGCATCAGCCTGGGAATCCAGTATGGGACTGATCAAGACCCCCTGAATGTGAGTGTCAGTGAGGAGGCATAGGTAATCTATTGAGCCTTGGGCAGTAGATCAGTACCCATCCCGAGTATACACATGGACTTTGGACTCTCATCCAACAATGTGAGATGCACTCTCAGCCTGAACTCTTGGGGAAGGGTCTAGGCCCTGCCCTACATGAAATGACAGACTATGGACACCCCCATGGAGGGCCTCACCCTCCCTGGGGAAATGAGGAGATAATGGGGGGGTTGGGAGAAGGGCATGGGAGGGGAGGGAAAGGGAGAGGGACCTGGAACTGACTTGTGAAGCAACCTTGTTTCTTATCTAAATTTAAACTGAAAAATAAATTTAAAAAAGGAAACAAAATTCTGCATGGACCCCAGACTGATGGCTGAGAGGCCAGAATGGGACTTATCCAGACCCCCTGAATGTGGGTGTCAGTGAGGAGTCCTCGGCAATCTATGGGGCCTCAGGTAGTAGGTCAGTGTTTATCCCTGACATACAAAGGGACTTTGGGAGCCCATTCCACATAGAGGAATGCTCTCTCAGCCTGGACACATGAGAGAGGACCTAGGACCTGCCTGGGATGATATGACAAGCTTGTTTCTAATTTAAATAAAAAAGAAAAGAAAATTCTGGTAACTCGAGCCTACATAATATTCTGACGACTTTAGGGTTTCTTCAGCATCTCAGGAGAAGGAGAACAAATCAAAGAGCCTTCTGATTTTCTGTGCCATTATTAAGTGTATAGCAATGATATATGTTTAATTTGAGATGTAATAAAATAGTTCTCAATAAAAAAAAGAATCTCAGGGATAATGCAGGCTGTACATGGCCCCACCATTGGTAATGGACAAAACTGAGACCCTAAGGCAGGTCTCCAAATAAGTAGTCAGTAATTTGCAGTTGATTTCATCAATGATGAAAAAGCAGAAGGCCAACCAAGGTCTGAGGGAGAAGGGCCCTCAACAGTGGGGTCAGGAAAATTGGTACACATTCAGAAAGGATGCATGACCCAAAGAGATGTCTATACCATTGCTAGCAGATAAGGGCAACCATACCAAAAGACCCAAGATGAAAGGAAGGTTCTTAGATACCATGTTCTTCCTTTGAGAACAAGGATTACAGCATCTGAAACTCAGTGCTGCTGTGCACTGAGAGAGGCCAACAGAAACTAAGCTTCTTACTCCTCCCCCTTAGAGGAAGGTAACTACTGGAAAGGTGACAGAGAGGCCGTCAGTAAGTGCCTGCCATACAAGCACGAGGAACTGAGTTTAGCTCCTTAGCACTCCATAAGAAGCTGGGCATATGATGATTTAGGTCTACAACCTCAACTCTGCAACTCACTAGCATGATGGCCTAATCAGTAATTGAGCTCTAGGTTCAGTGAGAGAACCTGTCTCAAAAGATAAGGTAGAGAGCAACCAAGGAAGACAGTCAATATTGACCTGTGACCTACACCTGCAGGCACATGCACATATGCACACACCCACGTGAACATTCACCTCAAATGCATGAACACAGGTGACAGAACCTCGCAACTGTACAGCAGCTAGCTGGACTGTCTTTTTGGGAGATTGGTTGTGCCATGGAAGAATATAATTGTGCCTCAGTTTTTTCCTCACATGTTCACCTACTGTGAAGGACACAACATCCACACCTCCTTGTCTTAAAGATGCCTGTGCCTCCCAGCATCCCCAGCCCCTCCTCCCACATTCAGGGGGTCTTGAGCAGTCCCATGCTAGATTCGCAGCCTTCAGTCTGGGATTCAAGAGCTCCCCCTTGTCCAGGTCAGCTGTTTCTGGGGGTTAAACCAGCCCGGCCTTAACCCATTTACTCATCAGTCCTCTCTCTTTCTGTCACTGGGTTCCTTGAGGTCAGCTCAGTGTTTACCTGTGGGAGTCTGCCTCTTCTTCCATCAGATTCTCTGGCAGTGAGACTGTAGGCTGGCACTCCCCTGATCCATGTCTAAAATCCATATATGAGAGAGTACATGCCATGTTTCTCTTTTTGTGACTGGGTTACCTCACTCAGGATGGTTTCTTCTAGTGCCATCCATCTGTTCCAGTGTGTTCATACCAGCATTACTTGTAATAGCCAGAACCTGGAAGCAACCTAGATGCCCCTCAACTAAAGAGTGGATAGAGAAAATGTGGTTCATTTACACAATGGAGTACTATTCAGCAGAAAAAAAAACAATGGAATCCTGAAATTTGCAGGCAAATGGATAGCTAGTTTAGGGATATTTTAAATAGTCTGATGATAGTGTAAACTCAGTAAGGTTTTTACAGTAATGGAAACCAAGTATTTCTTTCATCATTTCAAGAGACTACACAAGGTTTGCTCTATGAATAATGTTTGGGCTCTCGGCTCCATACACCCATCCAATCTTTAACTACCAAGACAAGAGCAAGACTTGACACTGACCATTTGGGCTGAGGTTCTTCTGCCCAGAATCTCAGCTACTTCCAGAAATGGTAAGGCCTCCTGTTGAGTGAAAGCAATAAGTATTATCAATTGAGGAACCCAAAGTTGAGTGAGGTAGAGAGGGGCTTCTTGTAGTTAGTGCCCTGTGAGGGTTGCTGACTTGGTGGGTCTCATGGCCATTTGACACCTGTTGTGTGGTTCCCTAGTCATCATCTATAGGATAGTTTTAATGGGTGGAATTTATTTGGAGAACTCTGAGGTGTTCATCCTCTATTATTTACAATAGCCATAACTCATTTATGTCTCAAATATGCCTTGTACACATAGCCTAAAGTTAATTTTATATTTATAATTATTTCATACATGAAACAAAATTTGAACCACGAGACTTGTGGCATCATGTTATATGTCATGATAAAACCTGTTACTTTTATAATTAGTAAAAACTATAAAAAGGTGGAGATAGTACTCAATTTAGACTTGGAATTTTTGTACTAAAGAAGCTCAGCCTGTGTGAATTAAGCACCACTTAGGAAGGCAAGAAGAAATGAAAGAGACATTGTCCTCGGGTGTTTTATCATCAAGATGAGGAGTCCACATACCAGTGGGTGGGGGAGGGTGTACCCATAGCTTTGTGCAGCATGATTGAAGTGGGGTGGATAGTGGAGGCTCTGATGTCTAGAGGACCCAAGACTTTGGATGAGTTTGGAAGGGCTGATGGGAAATGATCAAACAGATATCTGGGGTGTCTTGACATTCTGTTTGTCATTTGAGAAAGCACTTCACAGTATTGGACAGACATGAGTGCAGACAGGAGGAAGGTCATGGTTTTCTTTGCTGTGTTTGTGAAACCCACTGGAGAATGCCAGTTTATCTGAACCACACTGTCTCCTGACTCTCCCCACCATCTGGTAGCTTCAAGTAGTCCTGACTTGTAAAGCCTGCCTTGTTTATTCTTACCTATTTTACTACAACCATTGCCTAGTGTGAAATGCCAATCTGGGCTTTTTTCTGACCCACTGATTTTTTTCTCACATCTCTTAGGTGGTTCAAACTAGGCTTGGTGCAATACAAATTCTAACTTTACTTCCTGTCAACTGGAGAACTTTAGGCACATTCCATGAGTTCTCACAGCATAGGTTTTCTACAGTGACCCCAGTGTTCATAGCATTCATTGGCAGGAAAGCTTATGTGAGGTTTCCAGCAGGTATTTAATAGAGGCTCAATAAAATGCATTCTCCCCATCAGTTAGTCACGTCATCCAGCTGAAGATGTGGAGACAGTAGAGGGAAAACAAAGAAGAAATCCTCCCTGCAGACTTAGGGATAGGGTAGCTTATATATAGACAGGCAGCAGGCCCACTCAGAAAACCTGCTCAAATAGAAGAGAAGCAGAGCCTATATGAAGGGTTTATTCATGCCCTTCCTGGAAACATTATTTCTATGTGTGCGGGGAAGCAGTGAATGAAGCCAGATGCTTTCTTTTTCTTCTCTTAGACACTAACCTGAGCTATCATTCATCTGAAATCTAATCTGCTTCTGGTATTCGAAATTCTTCCTTGATTGAATACACTATAGTTTCTATCCAGTGAGCATACCAAGGGTATATTATGGGCAGGCAAGTTTCATAAAATCCTTTGGTACTTTTTTTAAAAAAAATTTTTAAATATATGTGTATTTGTATATTTTTAATGTATATGCATTTGTGTGCCTGAGTATGTGTATATATATGTACCAAATGTGTGTAGGTACCCACAGAAGAGGGTTTTGACTCCCCTAGGACTGCAATCACAGGCAGTTGTGAATTGCCTAATTTGGGTGCTAGGAATTGGACCTGGGTCCTCTGCAAGAGCAGCAAGTGTTCTTAACTGCTGCCCTGTCTCTGCAGCCCCCCCCCAGATCCTTGGTTTTCTGATATGAGGATTTGGGTTAGGTTGGCCCAGCCCTGGAACATCTCAGGTTCCCCTTTTGTTGGTTGTGCCTTTCAGAACCAAGAGCCGCTGAGAGAAGATGACTCTGATTTCATCCTGACGGAGGGTGACCTCACCTTGACCTATGGAGACAGCACGGTGACTGCAAACGGCTCCTCGAGCTCCTACACAGCCTCCACAAGTCTTGAAGGTGGTCGGAGAGTGAAAACCAGCTCTGAGGAAGTGCTTGAGCGAGACCTGGGAGTGAGCGATCAGAAGGTTTCCAGCCGGGGCACCCCCCTTGTATTTCCACTGCAGGAAAATGCATGACTTCCCCCAAAGTCCTGAAGGATCAGGGAGGCTCTCGTGAGGATGAGAATGGTCAAATGCCCCAGTGTGTTTGAGGTGTGGCATTGACTGGGTTAAACTAATGCTTCTGTTTCATCGGACCTGGAAACTATCGTCACGGAAAACTTAACCCAAGACTCAGATGGTGAAGCTAAAGTGTCTCTAAATTAAGACAAATGCAAACCTATTCCCACTTTCCCACGGTAGTATGCTGTTTCAGAGTTACACAACAATAGCATGCTTGCAATGGTTTCTCACTTCATCTGCCTGCAGCATCTGACTGTGGTGGGGCAGACAAGTGGCTTCAACTCTGTGCTGTAGTGCCAGTCCAGCTGGCTTAAGGAACATCAAGTTGGGAGGACAAGTTAGACAAAAGACAGTGACGAAAGGAAACTGAAATCAGAATGCCAATGGTGCCAGATGCTGGTGTCACACCAGCCAATAGAGCCCCTGGCTCTGAAGACTTAGACAACTGCATCCTCCCGTCAGAGTCCTAGCTGTGCTATCTGTGTTGCTCCTAGACTGAATGTTAGAAAGCGTGGCCATAGGTTGGGCATTAGCTCAGTGCTAGACTGCTAGAGTGCTTGCCTACAATGTACAAGACCCTGGGTTCCATCCCCAGCACTGCAAAAAGTGTGTGCGTGGATTTCCAAGAACATTTCAATATGGGGAAAAGAAGTCTAGTTCCTTCTCTGGAAATCTCTATAAAAGAGTTACTGAAGTGTTTAAAACCAAAGGCAAATCATGTTCTGTTGTTGTTTTTTAATTAATCTGAGGACAGGAGGTATTGAGAAACTGCTGTTGATACCACTGCAACACTCACTTGACATTGGAGGCTATTATGTGAGCCCACTGACAGAAGGTAACTGGTAGTCTGAGGTGTATCTACCACAGGGTTTTAAGATAACATGGATAGGGGCTGGAGAGATGGCTCAGTGGTTAAGAGCACTGGCTGCCCTTCCAGAGGACCCATGTTCAATTCCCAGCACCCACATGGCAGCTCACAACTGTCTATAGCTCCAGGTCCAGGGTAACTGACACCCCCACACCAATGCACATAAAATAAAAATTAAATAAATTGTAAAAAAAGATAACATGGGTATTGCTATTATCTAGGGAAGAGAAAGCAGGAATAAGTGGAAAAAGCCACAGACTATGGTTAGGGGAAAGAGATTTCAATGTAAAAGAAAAACCTGCAATGAAAAAGTAGAACTCTTTATTTTTATTTTACATCTTTAGGACAAAAACGCCAACATGTATAAAATTACTTTCCCATTGATATTCCTATTTTCATCACCTAGAAAATGAAAATCATTTTGATGCTTTTATTTCCATCTGAACTTTTGTTACTAAAAAAATATATATCCAAAGCCCTGGAAATGATTTAGCTTTTCTGCTCTTCCAGGGAAGACAGGGAAGTCCCAAAAAAACAAATCAGACTTCTTAAAACTATTAGATGACTGACATTCTGACCTCTGACCATACTTTCTTTTGTGAAATTTGATAGCTCCAGGAATCAAAGATGACTTATCTCCTTGTGTGTGAGACTTGGTGATGGTCAAGTAACATCCCCTGTAGCAACCTTCTTGTGGTCCAGGACTTGTTGCCATGCTCCACTTATGAGTTCTGAACCTTTTCTTCCAGCCTGACTTGGTTTACTTTCTTCAGCAGTTACCTTGGCATATTTATCTATGTTCAGATATATAGGATCATGTCTGCCTAAGTGTGAAGTAGAAGGTAAAGCAGGGCAAACTGGAGAACTTCTGGACATGCTACGAGGCTTGCTATGTGTGGCCGATGAACCTGCCCAAAGACTGTCAGATCAATTAGAACTTCTCCAGAAGGCACTACAGAGCTGCACATCTCCCGAGCTATAGTGGTCAAAGGTCTTCCTATTTAAAAAGTGTTGCTTTAACCAACTGACTCTTTCTTCATGGGTTGCCTTTTCCTCCAGTCCCAGATGAAAACTGGCTTCTGCAAAGCTGCTTTGCCTGAAAATTCTTTTTATGGTGGTGAAGTGGTACCAGCATCACATGCAGTGGTAAGCAGCTGCTGGAAATGCTGTTCTTTTGATTGTTTCTTTACATTGCTGAATTTGTAGCTCCAGCTTCTTGAAAGTTCACAGTCTTGTAATGAGGTAACTTCTTCACCATTTAAATCTTCTCAGTGTATCTTGTGTGACTTGGTCATCAGTTTTCTTTGTGACATCGTTATCCTCCACTGCTCTCTTGTGTTGTTTTTAAGCTGCTCACTTGAGGCTTTGCAGAGAAGGACCCACATGCTTGCCCAGGTCAGCGCCCCAGTGTGATGATCGCACTGAGGTAACAATTCCTGTGCCATCTGCCATTTCTCTGTGTTTCCTTTTGGGGGAAGAAATTCAGCATTTTCCATTAGAATTTGTTCCTGATGATCAACTTATAACCATTCAAGTGAATAGTTTCTTCTTTGTTCCTGGCTTCTGTTTTGCCCATTCTCTGGGAGCCTATGTTTACATCAGCTCTCCTTGCAGAATTTATAATGGCTGTGGTTGGTTTTCATTCTTTCTGTTCATAGCAAGTTGATGAGGACAGGCCTTTCTATATTCATGCTCTTGTTCCTTTCGTGTCATGGCTGTACTGAGTAGCTTAGCCTGCAACATTAAGTTGTGAATTTTGTACCTCCTCTTTCTCGTTTTTCAGTAGATTCTTGTTCTTGCATCATAAGCCCCTTTCTCCTGAAGTCTAGACTTCTCTCTTGGAGCATTCTAGTTGCTCTCTGAGTTGCTTAGCAGGCCTGCAGAGGGCCCATAGCACTTCCCAGTTTCAAATTCTTTGTTTTCCCATTTTCCTAAACTGCAAGTTTCCTCCTGTGAAGTATAAGTAGCTCACCCAGAGGGTTTAAAATAGAAACCATACTTAATTCTTTCTTTGTCTTTTTACTCTTGCATTCTTCATATAATGAATGAAAACTAAAAGTAGTCAACTCTTGGTCAAGACATGGAACATTTTAGTCAATACTCTCTTCTGTGCATATGTGGTGAGAAAAGCATTTGCCGCTCAGAATAAATTTGATTGAGACATCATTATTTTTGAGGTATATTGAGAGATAATTCTGCTTTCTACCATGTGACCTGGAACTATCCCATTCATCCAGTTTCCAGTCAGGGTACCCGAGAAACAGATTACAGCAATGAAAGTCTTAGAACAGCTGCTGTCATCCAAACATCTTCATCAAGGCAGCACAGGCACCAAAGGAAACAGGAAGGAGCTGTCTGCTCCTGCACTGTAGACTCCCTGTTTACTCAGTGCAGCCAGCTGTGCTCCACAGCAGTCTTAAGACTTAGACAGAACTTGAGACATTGAACTGATGCACACATGCAGTATTAGTGGCTGCATGAGGAACAGAAACAAAGTCATGGAACATAACCCAGTAGAAAATTCTGTCTTCTATAAATTTAGGAATTCATGTGTCTCTTGACAACTGAGTGCTATGCAAAGGGATGTCGTTTTCTTGGTGCAGAGGCTGCTGCACCAGCTTAATATGGACAAGGTTTGAAATGTAAAGTAGTGTTAGAAGTTTTGGTAACACAATTTCTAAAAGATATTTTATAACATGGTATTTTTCTCCTCACTGCATACAAAATAATGCCCACAAGCACTAGGACATCAATAATGACATCACCTATTTAACCAACTTAACATCCTAGTGTTAGCATAGTCCTGTTGTGTTCCTCTTAAAGGGTCTTATAATCTTCATTGTTTTGAAACATGGCATTGATCTTAGCTTGCAAAATGTGGAGACTCACCCTGACTTCTGAGGAGTTCTCAAAGATGAAGCTACCTGTAGAAGTGCTTCCACATTAAAGTGTTGTGCCCAGGTTGCATGAAGAAAATTCAGGGTGCCACAAGACTTAGAAGCTGCCTGCTTCAAAGCCAGCTATCTGGAAACCAGATTGGAATTGCTGAGTAATGGTGAGGTTTGTGTGAGAAAATAATTCAAGTCATCTTTCAAACCTGTTCACTCTGAGTTGAGGGAGATAATATCTCTGAGGACTGGAATCTTCTAGATCAGACATTCTGAATCCAGATTGCATATTACCTTTGTCTGGCTTAGCTATAGAGCACTTCCTAGCATGCCAAGGCCCTGGGTTCTATTCCCAAGCACTAAGATAAAAATGCCAGTTAAAGGTGTGGTACCCTCAAGATCTGGATTCTTCAGCTTCCGGGTAGGGTCTGGCATGTGGGGTTTGTTTGGAAACTTCCAGGATTTCCTGTGTGCAGAAGGGTTGAGAGGCTTTTGGATAAAGCGTATAAGGAGCCCTTTGGAAGCTTAGGTCATTCAAAGGATGTTTGTTTAGTAACTGTTAGTGATCAAAAGAAAACTGATTACAAATGCAGACTAGGCCACCATAAAACTTTCATGCTCATTTTGCAGAATTTAAGGTTGTCTCCCATATGAAAATAGAGACTTGAAGGAGAGAGGAGGGTGACTTGAGGATATGCATAGAAGAATTTCAAACTTAAGTCATCTTTATTCCTACTTGTGGGTGGGGGAGGGAGCTTTTGTCTGAGCTGCTGAGTAGTCCAACACAAAGGCTTCTGGGAAGTTGTCCTTTCAGCTCAATGTGGAATTAAATTAATAGTCCCTTTTGGTGGTCAAACTTTGTCTTGTTAGTCCACATGCCTTTTTCAATGGAGTAAGGGTAGAGCCATTACTGTCAGCAGCATAGGGAAGGTTGTGTTCACTCTGTTGACACAAGTCAGCAGTGGTACAGCTCTGAGATAAGATCAAACCCACTCATTCCTTTTCATAATGCTCCTAGGAACTACCTAGGAAGCCTAAGCTTTCCTGGAAAAGGTATTCTGGCTCTTAAAGAAGGTTGTGTTTCTTCCTAGCAACACCATAGAAAGACCATACCAACTCCAATCATCTAGGGTAGAGTGATAATGATGCCTTGCACCCAAACAAATCATGCTATGTTACCAAATGTCTCATCAGGCAAACAGTAAGGAGCACCCTGGGTTGAATCCTCGAGATCTCCAAATGCCTTGTGATTCCATAGAAAAATAATGTCTCTTTTGAGAGAAAAGAAAAAGTTATCTCATTTTATGTGAGCAATTCCATTTATAGCAAAGACCAGTTCCTTCGAAAACAAATGTCTACTTCACATTGCTCCTCCACAGTATTTCCCTTCCTTGTCTCCAGTAGAAGTGAATGTAATCATGTCAGATACTCAGTGCGAACCATTGGTTCCCCGAGCAGGAACACCACTGAGATCAGAGGACAATGGAGCAAATCATCAGAGATGCAGACCATCCACTGTAACTTCCTCATTCCCGTATGAGATCTAAGAGAACTAAAAGTAGCCCAGAGCTGATGTCAGCATCCATCTAAAATGTCATCTGCAGGGAGGGTTGCTGGGGTGGCAGCTTGCTGACTCTTAAGTTGGGGCAGACCCTCTCCTGTGTGTTAAGTTGAAGTCTTCTCTTGTTTTTTAAGGGAGACTGGTTTGCTGGCATCAGCTTCTGTGTTCTGAGGCAGTAAGTTGAATGAACCTAGTGGCCAAGAGTTTACTTTAGAAACAACATATCTGAATGCTGCTTTTACCTGTTTGATACCTAAAATGACCATACCCCTTTCAAAACCTAGTTTGAACAATCTGTAGAGAAGTATCATAGGAATGAGTGTGCTGATGTCAAACCAAAAAAGCATTCCTTGACAATTCTTTCAAAACAGGACCTAAAGACAAACTTTTTCCTGCTTTCATAAACATTTGTCAAATTATCACCAAGTGCTGGAAAATTATAAAGAGCAAAATTAAAGTTTGTAATGTTCATTTTATTTTCTTAAGCAGGGTATGTTATAACTGTGGCCACTGAAGCCTTGGGGAGCACTAAAAGGAGGGTCTCTCTGTTGTGCTGCTTTTTGAAATGGCCTAAAGTGGGTGTGAAAACACACAGCACAGGCCATCATCTTCTCACACCACCATTAAAAGGGCAGAAGAGAATGTCTTAAGGTCCTGGTCAGCCTTCAACTTTTGGCCAATGGAAAATTTGTCTCGCTGTATATGCTGAAGAAACTGACTGAAAAAGAAGCGAATAGCACAAAGCATTGCAGGTTCACTGTTGAAAGCACCTTCAGAAAGTGACATCCTGGTGATCATGGCTAGGTACCTGCAGGGAGTTTGGGGCTGCTTAAGTTATGACGGTTCTACTTGCAAGCCTTGGAGGAACAGACGATGCTTTCAAGTTTTATGGGTATTCAATGTGTGGATGTAAAAGTTAGTACTGAAAGCACTTATTTAAAGTATAACCTCACAGTAGGGTCATTTCTTCCTAGGTTTTTTTTTCTTTTTTAACATGATCCACTTGATCCTTCTTTTGGCATGTTTTACTATTCCCACTAAGATAATGAAATGTGAAGACCATGAAGATTCACTGACTACCTGGAAAGCAAGTTTTGAAGCAGAATAGGGAGAATTTAACATGCAATGTTGGGACTTTCTGGTGACCATTTTATAGAGAGCCAACAGTATATTTGGGGAGAATTTTATAGAAAAGACATCAAAATGTGTTTTAACTGTGAAAATTAAAGACTTGGAATTATCTTCAACCTTTATGTGCAATAAGGAAAACAGCAGTAGGAACCCTAAAGTGCGCCCCCCTCCTCCCCCGTCTTCCCCCTCCCTCACCTTTTACTTAATGTTCGCCTTTGGGTAGCTGTTTAGATTGCTATTGTAAAGCTAGCCTCGTGGTTTCCTGTCCTTTACTAATATTTAACATGTTTTTCTCAAAGCTTTTTTTTTTTTTTTTACAAAACTCAAAATAAAAAGATTAACTGGCTGGGATAATGGTGTTTTTTTTCAGAGTCCGCTCTGGTATGTGTATCCAGTGTGATCTTATTTACAGCATGTTTCGTTTGCTCACTGAGAACTTACTTCTTTTTTTTAGAACTGTTTCTCTCCAGGGGAATTTGTTCAAACTATAGTTGGCAAGATATCCTTGGCCCCTTAGCAAATCTAGCCTGCAGCCTGTGTTTGTAAATGAAGTTTTATTGGCATCCATTACACTAATTGCTTGGCATGCTATCTGGAGTTTCTGTATGCTACAGTGACAGAGCTGAGGAGGTGTGATGGAGATTCTGTGGCACATAAAGCCTGAACTATTTACTGTCTGACCTTTTACTAAGAAAACCCTTGCCAATCCTTAATTTAGATACTTTAAAATTTTCAACTTTAGGATAGGGTATCGCAGAGGCCAGAGGGATTACTCATTGGTTAAAAGCACATACGCTGCTTTTGTAGAAGACCAGGAATCAGTTCTCAGAATCAGGCCAGCTTAGAACCACCTATAACTCCAGTTCCAGGGGATTCAATGCCCTCTTCTGGCTTCTGCCAGTACTTCATGAACTTGGTGCACATAATCTCACACAGGTAAACACACATCTACATAAAGCTTTAGGGGGAAAGAAGAATAGGATGCCAATTGGAAATACTAGTATACACCTGGAACCCAACACTTAGTAGGCAGGTGCAAGTTTGAAACTAGCTTCAGCTGCACAGACATGTTGACACTGGGGTCTGTAAAATCCATGGTAACATCTTTTTGAGATTTTTAGAATTAGAAGAAACAGTTTAAACTTGGCCTCAGCCTGGGGTTCCTCCTGCCCCCAGGACTCTCACAAGTTTTGAGTGTAGAACCTTAAAGAATACATCACCAGGAGTTGGCAACATGAACCTGTGAGACTGAAGGATGTAAACTTGACATTGTAATTTAATAGTTCCCTACAGAATGACTGCATAGAGATGACTCAGTAGTTAAGAGCACTGCCAGAGGGCTGGGGTTTGATTCTCAGTCCTCATATGCCAGCTCACAACCATTTGTAACTCCTGTTCCAGCGGATCTGATTTCCTCTTCTGACCTCCATGGGAACCAGGTACACACATGGTACACAGACATACATGCAGACAAAACACCCAAACAGGTAAAATACAACAAAAGAAAATTCCTGAACCCTATAGACAGTTTCCTTCATGGTTCTTAAATTCCTTTTATATAGACTACCTTTAGTGAATTCATGCAATTGAACCATTTCCCGGAATCTGCTTAGCAAAACAAAACAAAACAAAACAAAACTCTGATCATTAGCATGATGCTAGAATCATTTGACTGCACAGTTACAAAGCCACTAACTACAACAATTTGAAAGCAAAAAATGTTTCCATTTATTACAGCTCTCCTGCCCCCAGGAAAACTGACTTTTTAAAAAAATGGTTCGACAGGAGGAGGGCTCTTAAGGAAATCTAGATGGGTAATTCTTTTGGAAACAATACCACCCAGATCTTTTATTTAATATAAAGTAATTTAATCAAGATAGACACAACTGCACTTGGCCCTTGTTCACGTTGATGACTTTGTCCAGACATCTGCTGATGTGAAATGGAACCAGATCCCATTTCTTTGTTGTGAGGATGCCTTGTTGAAATGTCTCAAGCAGAGCCAAGTTCAGCTTGGGAACCAAAGCTTTTCCTATTTTATGGCCATAAATAATCACATTGCACTGTCACTTCCTTTCTGGAAACTTCATCTCAGCCAATGTGTCTGTCATTACTTAACAGCTTGTGATGTTCCTGACCAGCAGATTTTCACAGCAGTTGGTACCAAATCTGTCCCAGTCTCTGACTGTGTGATAGATTGCTTCCACCGTACAGCCTCTCCACTGTTGGTGCAGCATGCTGAGCTCACCTGTTTGTGGCCACTGACCTGGAAGGGAAAAAACAAAAGATGTTTGACCTTCACAGAAATCCAGTCTGTTGAACCCTGGTGATTTAAACTACAGCTTTCTTTATCCAAGTTATGTTAATCGAGTATTGAAAATGTGAGTGCCTATTATTTCTGCTTTGTGAAAGAGACAAGGAGAAAATGTAACTCGAAGTGTTCAATGAGGGTGAAAAGAAGATAACACAGGCTCCTTTGCAAATACTGCTGTGTTTATACAGCCACCAAGGTGGGATGCCCCTTGAAAGGAGCTTTCTGCCACTCTGTCCAGGGAAGCAGGTAGGCTAACTGCAGATCTTCACCTCTCCCTCTGCTCCTCCAAATCCACTCTGCAGTTTAATTCCCACATCTGCAGCAGAACACTTGCTGCAACCTCCCTTCCCTAGCTGCTCCCATTTCCAGGGGATTCCACAGATCTTCCCCCAACTCATTGCTTTATCCCAGCTCCCTAACTCCAGCAGGGATTCTCTGGAAACACACAGGCCATTCCTGCCAGGGAAGCAGGTAGGTGAACTACAGATTAGCACTTCTCTCTCTCATCCTCCAAGTTCAATACCCACTCTCATCCCAGGCTCTGTAGCACATCTATTGTGAACTCTCCTTGTGGAAGGAAATGAATAAAACAGTTCAAGACCTGAAAGTGGAAATAGAATCAATAGAAGAAACCCAAACTGAGGAACATACAGAAGGGAAACATTTAGGAACTTGAACAGGAACCACAAAGGCAAGCTTCACCAACAGAATACAGGAGACAGAAGACAGAATCTCAGATGTTGGAGATAGGATAGAAGAAATAGATAAATCAGTTATAAAGTGTTAAATCTAAAACTCCTGGCTCAAAAGATCCAGGAAATATGGGATACTATGAAAGGTCCAAATCCAGTAATAGTAACAGAGGAAGAAGAAGAAACATGGGCCAAAGACACAGGAAATATTTTCAACAGACTCTTAGAAAATTTCCCTAACCCAAAGAAGGAGGTATCTATCAAGGTACAAGAAGCATACAGAGCAATTTGGATCACAAATGAAAGCCCCCTTGGCACATAATCAAAAATACTAAATGTACAGAGTGAAGAAGGAATATTATAAGTTATGTGGGAAACATCAAGTAACATATAAAGGCAGACCTATTAGAATTACAACTGTTTTCTCTCTTCTCAGTGGAGATTCTAAAAGCCAGAACAGAAGGGCCTGGAGAGCTGTGCTGCAGACTCTAAGAGACCACAGATGCAAACCCACTTTACCCAGCAAAACTTTTAACTACTACAAATGGAGACAAGATATTCCATGATAAAGTCAGATGTAAGCAATATCTATCTAAAAATACAGCCCTACAGAAGGGGCTAGAAGGAAAATTCTAACCTAAAGAGATTAACTACACCCAAGAAAACACAGGGAATAACCCCACACCAGCTAAATGAAAACTTGGGAAACACACAAATACACATACCCCACAACCGCCGCCACCAACACTGTAGCACAAATAATAAAAACCCAGAGACAGATTTTAGGGTTCAAGCTGAAGATCAGAGAAGCAAAGTGGCCAGCCACAAGCTCTTACCTCTACCTCATATTGAAAGGGCGATCCTGTCTCCACTAATCCTCAAATTGAATCTGACTGTATATGTCTCCCCCAAACCTCAGACTCAGAGACTGCACTGAGCTCCTGTCTTATATTCGTCTCTCTGGTTAATCCTTTCATCAGGCATGTCATCCCAAGTGCTGGGATCATAGGTGTGGGCTCTGTTTCTCTTTAGACTGATTCACTCTCATGTAGCCCAGGGTGGCCTTGAACTCAGAGAGATCCATCTGCCTCCATCTCCCGAGTGCTCCATTGCCTGCCTCTGTGTCTAACTTGTGTGGTTAGCTTTGCACAGTAATCTTCAGGCAAGCTTTATTTGTTAGATCATAAACAAAATATCACCACAATCAATCATGATCAAGTAGGCTTCTTTCCAGAGATGGTTCAAATATCTGAAAACCTATTTGACACAGTAATCCACCATATAAATAAACTGATAGAAAAAAACCACATGATCATCTCAGATGCTGAAAAAGCCTTTGACAAAATCCCACACCTCTTCATGAAAAAAATCCTGGAAAGACCAGGGATACAAGGGGCATACCTAAACATAATAAAGGCAAATTACAGCAAGCCAACAGCCAACATCAAATTAAATGGAGAGAAACTCAAAACAGTTGCATTAAAATCAAGAATGAGACAATGTTATTCACTCTTTGTATATCTATTTGTCTTATTTAGGATGTCTATTGCTGTGAAAAGACACCATGACCACTGCAACTGTTATAAAGTAGCTCCATACAAAATTGACTCACAAAAATAAGTGGCCCTCCTATATACAATGATAAATGACATAACTCCTATATACAAATATAGACTGAGAAAGAAACCAGGGAAACAAGACCTTTCACACTAGTCTCACATAATATATAACATCTAATGAAGTAAGTGAAAGATTTGTATGATAAAACTTTGTTCATTGAAGAAAGAAATTGATTAAGATATCAGATGTTGGAAAGATTGCCCATGCTCAATTAATCAATAGGATTAATACAGTAAAAAAATGGCCATCCTACCAAAATCAGTCTCAGATTCAATGCAATCCTTTTCACAATTCCAATGCAGTTCTTCACAGTTTTCAGCGTCATATGAAAACACAAGAAAACCAGGATACCTAACACTAGCCTGAATAATAATAGAACTGTGAGAAGTATTACTATCTCTGATTTCAAATTGTACTTTTGAACGATGATAATAAAACAGCATGGTATTGGCACAAAAACAGACATGTTGATCAATGAAACAGAATTGAAGACCCAGACATAAATCCACACACCTATGGACACCTGATTTTTATAAAGAAGCCAGAAACACATACTGGAAAAAGCATCTTCAACAAATGGTATGGGTCTAAATGGATGTCAGAATGTAGAATAATGCAAATAGATCCATATTGATCACCCTGCACAAAACTCAACTCCAAGTGGATCAAAGACCTCAACATAAAACCAGATACACTGAACCTTATAGAAGAGAAAATGGGCAATAGCCTTGAACACTTTGGCACAGAAGACAACTTCTTGAACAGAACACTGACATCATAGGCACTAAGAACAACAATTAACAAATGGGACCTCATGAAACTGAGAAGCTTCTGTAAGGAAAAGGACACAGTCATTCAGACAAAACAGCAGCCTACAGAATGGGAAAATATTTTTACCAACTACACGTCTAATAGATGGATAATGAGCAGAAACTAGATATCCCAGACACTTAGGGCAAAACCAAGTATTACTTGTCTTTAAAAAATTTGACAAAATGACTCCTAATGATATTCTACTATCTAACAGATAAGTGCCTTGTTCAGCCATCATCAGAGAAACTTCCTAGTGCAACATATGGGAACAGATACAGAGACCCACAGCCAGACATTTTATACACACACACACACACACACACACACACACACACACAGAGAGAGAGAGAGACAGAGACAGAGAGACAGAGAGAGACAGAGACAGAGAGACAGAGGGGAGAGGGAGAGAGAGAGAGAGAGAGAGAGAGAGAGAGAGAGAGAGAGAGAGAGAGAGAGAGAGAGAGAGAGGATAGAGAGACAGACAGACCTTGGAACACAGAGCTCCAAATGGGAAGTCTCCATCAAATCCCTCCCCTCAGAGCTCAGAGAACCTTGCAGAAGTAAAGGTGGAAAGAGTAGAGGACACTAGGGGAACAAGGCCCTCTAAATAAACATGGGCAAAGTTCTTTGAGCTCACAGAGATTGGAGCAGCATGCACAGGGCCTGCATGGGTTTGCACCAGGTCCTCTGCATATGTATTACAGCTTTCAGCTTATTATTTTTGTGGGAACCCTGAGTGGGTGAACAAGTGGGTCTCTGATTTTTGTGCCTTCTCTTGAACTCTTTTCCTTCTGTTGGTTTGCCTTGTTCCACTTGGATGTGATGGTATTTGCTTTATTTTGTTATATTTTATTTTTTGATTGGTTATCTCCTAGAAGCCTGTTTTTTTCTAATGAGAGACAGAAAAGGAGTGGATGGGGGGACTTGGAAGAGCAGAGGGAGGGGAAGCTATAATCAGGATATATTGTATGAGCCAAGAATCTCTTTTCAATAGAAGGGGAGTGGAGAAAGAAAAGAGCTTTCTGGGGCATGCTGGGAAGATGGGGGAGGAGCTGGGATTGTAGTTACACCTTTAGATAAACAAGGTAACTCTAAACCTCTTTTATATATGTTTGTAGATATGTTTCAGGAAGCTTGCACAGTAGTAATTTCCATATCACTCTTTCAAAGGTCTTTAGTGTTAGTGATCCTTCCTTATGCTCCCTCATCTACTCTTCCTTCCCATCTTCCACCCCATTTAACTCTTTCATTATACCCTTTCCCCCTTCATACTTATGTACTATCTCCACTTTACTTTAAATCACCCTCATAGCCTTTAACAGTTTCTGCCATCCATGGGTACTCCACTTTAAACACTTTTATCTAGAGATTCAAATCTAGCATCCATACATTAGAGAGATCATATGACATTTACTTTTCTGAGTCTGGGTTACCTCACTCATAATCATTATTTCCAGCTCCATCCATTTACCAGCAAATGCTCTAATTTATCTTCGGAGCTGATTAGTATCCCATTGTGTTTATGAATCACTCTTTCATTATACATTCCATTCATCTGTTAATGGACGCCTAGGCTGTTCCCATTGCTGGCTATTATGGGTAAAGTAGTAATGAACATAGATGACTAAGTGTCTCTGTAATAAGATAGAGTCCTTTGAAAATATGCCCAGGAATCAGCCTGGGAATCCAGCATGGGACTGATCAAGACCCCCTGAATGTGGGTGTCAGTGAGGAGGCATGGGTAATTTATTGAGCGTTGGGCAGTAGATCAGTACTCATCCCGAGTATACACACGGACTTTGGACTCCCATCCAACAATGTGAGATG